GCTATGGCGACTGTGCGCCCACACAACTCACTGTTCGCACTCTGGATCACCCTGGATGTCCCACACGCAACACTCAGTATCCATACGCAACACACACACACACACTATGCTACAGCTATGGCAGCGCTAGCTGCTACTACCCTATCGCTACACTACGCTTCTCTGCCCACTTCGTCTTCGGGCGCACTGCAGACCTCCTCACACAAGCTGCTGAGGCAGCGCTTCCGCATGGCATCCGCAGGAATGAGTGAATGGCTGGACGCAGCCTCTTGATTTATACTCTTGTGCTGCGTTGGTCTGCCCTGTGTCCCTTGGCCCTTGGTGCACACAGTCCCAGACGGTACTTGCTGGACAGGACCGGACTGCCTAACTGGGACTGTTGACTCAGCGAGGTGGCTTACCACCACTTGACCACTTGCCTCTGTTCAACGCAGGCTCACTCCGAAAGGCCACTTCTAGAAACCTCTGACTTGGCCTTTCGGTACTGTAGCAGCTACGACCTTGCCCCTTCAGGTAAGTAGCAGCTACGACCTTGACCCTTCCGGCACCCTACAGCTACGACTTCGGAACTGTCTAGACTCCTACCCTACAGGTCTACAGTTCGATTCCCTTCTACCCTGTGACCTACGAAAACCTACCTACCACTGGCGGTCCTACAGGTCACAGGTTCAAATCTACGGGTTGACACTGGTACTGTACACAGGTAAGACGGGGAACTAGGGATCGAGCCCTGGGGTCTGCATTCGCTACTGCGAACTGGTGAATACCATTTCACTCCCGCTGGTCTAAATTTGAGGTCCTCCAAGAAAATTTCAGTCCAAGGCAGGACCTTTACCTCTCTGTTGTCTTTCGTAGGCCCGGACTATATCGGGAGCTGTCTCTAGAAGTTCAGATCTCGTAAACCAGCGGTCGTCTTCCGATTCTTGATAACTAAAATGAACCTTGTACTGTTTCTGCGGACGACCCCTACCTCCAGTTCTGAAGACATCTTCAACCACTATACCATCGATGTCATATCTTCCATCCATACTCGGTGGGATCATCGATCTACGGGATGGAAACTGATCACTTGTTTGACAAGGTAATAACTTCAATGCATGGAAAACTGGGTAAGTGTGGAGGTGTGTTGGGAGTTCTATAGTATAGGACGGTCCGTCTTCGCCGCCCTTGACTTCTAGAACGGGCCACGGTCCTCTATATGTGGGCAGTAACTTTTGCGAGATGTTCTCCTCAGGTGAAAACTCCTTAGAACTGACCCAGACTAAGTCGCCTACCTGAAACTGTGAAGGGCAATGATGTTTGTTCGCCTGCTCTATCATCCTATGCTGGGCCTTCCCGAGGTTCTCTACAACAGTAGCTAGTTCTTTCTCGTGCTGTACAACAAACTCCCTGGTCCCGGGCGACAATCTATGAATTTGATCCCGGTTGAGTCCCTCAAACGGTCTGCGCGGTTTAAAGGACTTGTGCAGTTCGTTGGGAGTGCGGCATGTAGACAGATGCAAGCTGTTATTGTACGCACTAGCTACTTTGGGCAACATCTCATCCCAATTAATCTGATCTGGCCTAATGTACATGCGCAGAACTTGCGGTAGGATCTTGTTCATCTGCTCGGTCTAACCGTTAATCTCTGGATGGCGGCCGGACGACATCAACAACTTAGATCCGTATACTCCCATGAGTTCTTGCCAGTTCTGGCTAGTAAAGCGACTATCTCTATCGCTAACTATAGACAGTGGGATTCCATTCTCACTCACCCAACAGTCAAAAAAACTCTGTATGACTAAATCAGTACGTGCCTCTGAAGGCAAAGGGATAAAAACTGCGTACTTACTAAAACAGTCGACTACGACCATGACTTGGCTCTTGCCATGCCTGCTCTTGACTTGGGTGTCCATGAAGTCTATGGACACTGAGTCTCCTGGCTGGTCTGGAATGGGCAAGGGTATGAGAAGACCTAACGGTGCTCGCGTGCTACTCTTGTTACGCTAGCAAACCTTACAACTGCGAACATACTCTACTCAGTCATTCTTCATCCCCGGCCAGGTATATGCGCGCATCGGATTGGCTAAAGTCTTCTGCCAACCAAAATTACCCTCTGTGTCGTGGCATTCCCCCAAAATCAGACTACGAATCTCTTCGCTACTGGGAATGCACAGGCGGTCAAATACATTGGTCTTCTCGAAGAGCAACCCTTCAGTAGTGCGGTAGTTCGGCTCAGTCTCTGGGGCCTCCTTGACTCTCTTGAGGAGGTCACTATAGATAGGGTCCTGCGCATAGGCTTCTCGAATCTTCTGCTGCAGGTCCTTCCCTATATCTAGGTAATGTTCTATCGCCCCAAAGTAATCAGCTCTCCTACTCAGAGCATCCGCAACTACATTATACTTTCCTTTGACTGGCTTGAGCTCAAAGTCGTACTGATCTATCTCTGCGGCCCACCTAGTAAGCGTAGGTGTCATCTTGTCCTGCGTCTTTAACCATCTTAACGTCTCATGGTCTGAATAGACTTTGAAGTGCCTCCCAAGCAAGTAGTGCTTCTAGTGGTCTAACGCTTGCCTGAGAGCGTAGAGTTCCCTCTCAAAGGTAGATGTCGCAACCTTCTCTGAAGGCATCCTGGCGGACATGAACTCTACGGGTCTATACCCATTGCCATCGTCTTGCTGTAACACTGCGCCTATGCCGTACTGGCTAGCATCCGTAGTAACGGCAAAAGGCAAGGACAGATCGGCGACCTTAAGGACCGGATACTCTATCAACGCCTGTTTTAATTTCTTCATAGCAGACGTGCAGTCCTTGTCCCACTTCCAGATGGTCTCCTTCCTGAGCAATCCGCGAAGGGCCGCAGCGATGGTGGAGAAGTTCCTTACGAACTTCGTATAGTAGTTGGCTAGGCCTGAAAACGACCGCAACTCTGTCAACGTACGCGGTGTCGGCCAATCTCTAATCGCTGCGATCTTGCTATCCTCTGGCTTGACGCCGTCTCCGTCTAAGACGTGGCCTAAATACAAAACTTGGGTCTTCGCCCAATCGCACTTCTTTGCATTGATCTTGAAGTTAGCTTCCCTCAACTTCTCCAAGACCTGCCTGAGATGACCCTAATGCTCGTCGAGGGTCTTGCTAAACACTAGAATGTCATCTAGGTAAACTACAACAAATCTGTCTAACCATGGCCTAAACAAATCGTTCATACGGCGTTGGAACGTAGCTGGCGCATTGGTTAGTCCAAAGGGCATCACTATAAACTCATAATGCCCGTACCTAGTCCGGAAGGCTGTCTTATACTGATCATTAGGATGTACCTCTATCTGATGATACCCGAACTTTAAATCTATCTTAGAGAAATACTTGGCCCCCTGCACTCGATCTAAGAGATCGTTCAGTGGCTCAACATTCTTCACGGTAATAGCATTCAGACCCCTATAGTCTACGTACATTCTTAGCTCCCCCTCTTTCTTAGGAACAAAGAGAACAGGCGCTCCGAAAGGAGACGAACTGGGCCTAATCCAACCCTTCTCGAGGAGCTCGTCTAATTGCTTGCGAAGCTCCTCTAACTCCCGTGGGGACATCCTATACACAGCGCCCTTAGGAGTTCTACTGCCAGGCTCTATCTCAATGCGGTGCTAGATGGGCCGTGGTACTACTCCTATCGGCGGCTCAGTTAGATCCTTGAACTCCTCCAGCAGCTTGGCAATCGCAGGGTCCATCGACTTTTCTTCCGTAGGCTCAGTCACTGGCCTAACATAGGCAACAAAAACCTGTTCCTCCAATTTCTCCTTTTTCACCAATCTGGCGAACCCAGGAGCACTAAGACAGCAATGTGCCAAGGGGTTCTCTACTCCTGACACATGGAACAGGCGGGCAGTCTTAGCCTCGCCTGAAGAACTAGGGAGCCTACACTCGTGCTCCTTCAAATGGAGCGTGGCTCCGGCTGCCTCTCCCCAATCCATTCCCAGAACAATGTCAAACGGGAGGCTGTCTTCCACGAGGAGAGTCAGGGAGTGGAGGACCTTCTCCACCTCCCCATCTTTCTCTAGGCGGAAATACGCCTGGACTCCCTCKACGTAATCCTCTACAACCATAGTACGATTGTCTGCGAGGATACTAACTATAGGGTCTGCTAGCTTTTGGACTTTAAGTCCCAACTTCAACTTCTGCAGCGCTTTCTTACTAATATAGCTGCGGGTGGCCTCTGAATCTACTAGGGCCCCTACTCTGCCTCTAAAAATCTTTGTATCTAGTAATATGAGCTGCCCTTTATTCTCCTTTCTCATCTTGGCTCAGGCGGGCATCCTCTCCTTCAACTCTTCGGCCACGCCTGTGAGGGAGGTGTCTAGAGAGACTCTGACACAAGCAGTCTCTGGACAGCCATCTAGACACCGGCCTGCAACCTCTGCCATAGGCACATGTGGTGTGGGAGTCTCCTGCCGGCTAGCGCTATGTTCCCCACATGGCCTAGTGGTAGGGGCAGTTGCTACCCCTACCGGCGGCTGCCTTTTGGCCCTTGAGCAGCCGTTCGGGTCTCTCGATACTTAGGACAGTATTTGATGATGTGGCCCGAGTCACCGCAGAAAATGCACTGGCCCCGGTCCAATCGTTGTTGCCATAAACTCTAGTCCAGACCCAAAGTTCCCCAAGCCCTACCTTGCGGTAGCTCTGGGTGCCATCCTCCTACCCTATAAGGAGACCTGTTCCTAGGACGGTTTTGCGGGGGACCTTGACCCCTGCCTCCCGCTTGGCGGTTTCATCCTCTGCCGCCAACCCCCTGATCGCCCTGAAACCGGCTCCCTGTGGCCCGACCCCCTTGGCCCTGGCCTCGTCCTCCTTGCGGCCTCCCTCCAGCCGCGACAGCAGCGTAAGTCCTCCCCTGGCCTACACCGTTGTCCTCCTCCTTTAGTCCCCACTCAATCTGGTCGTAGGGGATTTCATCCACACTACCTTCATCTAAAGTGAGCACAAGACTATCCTTAGTCTTGACCTGCCCTGAGATAGTGCGGCCCTTCCACTTTTTGCCCTTGTCTAAATCTTTGTGCTAGAAAGTGGAAATCGACGTGGACTTCGCCTCGAACGCGACCACTTCCCTGCTAAGTGCATCATAAGTCATAGCAGGGTCCTGACTCTTCGCAAAGAAGTGACCACGGAGCGCTTCGGGCATAGCCCGGTAGAAGAGGTTGACCAACTGGGTCTCTGTGACCTTGTGGTCAGGAACAACCACTAGCTCATCCATTTTGCCTTTGAGTGCCTTGGCACTCTTCCATTGGTGCGAGTGGATGGGCTGAAGCCTATCTGAGGCTTTGACACTTCGAGCGACATCTGCAAATCGCTCGCGCAGCAACTTCAGAAAATCGGCGAGGGGAGTGAATGACGAATATGCAACTGGATCGTCATTGCAGTTAGCGGCACGAACTAGGGACCTTGCAAAGCTGGCGGCCTCATCTCTAAGCGCGTGGATCGCAATTAGAACCTGCTGATCCGGGGAGACCTGTTGCAGATGCACATAGGTCTTCACGTTGGCCTCCCAGTTGTCGAAATTCTCTTCCCTTTTCCCACTGTAGGAATCGGGGAATTTGACTTTGACTGGCTCCCTGCGAGGACGTGCCTCTTTCTCCTTGGGAGCTGCCACCTTGACGCCTTCAATGGCGCCGACGCAGAAGCGTTCCGTCTTCTCGAGGCGATGGCTCACCTCGGCTTCTATTGCGCCTACTAATTCACGCGCAAAGTTCCGAAATCCCAGTCGCATCGAACGCACAGCTATATCCTGGCTGCGACTAAACTCATATTGTTGTTCTTGTACCCTAGCTAAACGCTCGATGCTCTGGGCGATGATCTCCACTTTTTGTTGGAGGTCTACCTGAGGGGTCAATCGTAGGGTTAGTTTTTGCACCTCCTCCAACTCTTTGACCGCTTTAGTCGCCGCATCGACCCTTCTCTTCTTCTCCCTCATCATGGCAAGTTTCCACTCCATCCTCGGCTGATCCTCCAGGGGTCTTTCTCTACATCCCAAGCCTTCATGGCAGCCTCTTGGTCATCCTTTGGGATGTACATCATCACCTCTTCTTCCTCGCCCAGAGATAAGTTGGCGACCCACTCCGAAATCTTCTTCTCCATCTCATCACCGCTGCTGCCACTGTTTTGCCCACTCTTCCTTTGCAGTGGCGGTCCTTCCTCTTCTTCATCCACCTCCTTCAACTTTTCTTCTTCCTTTTTCAGCCTCTCTTTCTCCCTGGCCATCTCTTCTTCCATCTTCTTCAATTTGGCCGCCTGCTCCTCCTTCAAGGCCTTCTTCTTGGCCTCCTTCTTCTCCTTCCTCTCCTGCAAGATGGCGGCCATCTTGTCCTCCTCCTCCTTCGTGTATGGCTTGGTGGAGGTACCACCCCGGGTATTTACTCTGCACATCATCGTGTGCCAGAACCCCAGAGGAAAGAGGAGATGCCAGAGGGTTTCCCAGAGGGAGAACCCCACAAGCAACCCATACATCGGATAGTCATCCATCGTGGTGTTAGGTGCACGACAAGAGTCCCACTCCTCACCACTTAGACCTACCCGGATACACTGACCTACTGACCGACTCTCTAAGATCCACTACTCACAACTACTCTAAGGCTGTCACTACTGAACTAACAGTTGATCATGAGGTTTAAGGAGATCCCCCAAACTCCTCAAGAATTCTTTAACGTCACAGTCAGGACGACGTGATCAGCGTAGTTCTTCCTGGCGATTTCAGCCCACAACTCAGCCGTTCCGGCCTACTGTGCCACATCGAGCAGCCCGCCGGTCTGTACCGGTCCTTGGAGGGGTTCATATCCCTCGGGACAGTCGAGTCGTCAGACACAGATCATCATCCTTACTAGGTCCGGTAGGGGAGTGGTTCAACCAGGCCTCAACACTTAAAGACGGCCTTCTTTTCAGCCCACAGCTCAGAGTTCGGACCCTCTACACTGAGCTCAGTTGACCTGCCGGACAGTACCGGTCATTGGGCTAGACGAGTTGTTTAACGAGCGCTCGCCGCTCATGCCCAGGTCTCCAGATGCCAGAGTAGAGATTAGTCCTACTAAGTCCCGTGCAAGTTTGGCAGCAAGGCCCTATCCTTCATCCACAGAGTCCTAACACCTAGGACAAAAGAGACTCAATGCAGAAAGGAAGGCAGACAGACTCAACTCAGCAAGTACCGTAGGGTTGTGCACATCCACAGGGTAAGGGGATAGGCTGAGGGCTCAATGAGATATCACCAACTCCAGCTTGGTCAAAATCTTGGTCAGCAGCTCCGGTCAACGCCTTGGTCAATGCTGAGTCAACACGGACAACCCCCAGTCAACGCTTGGTCAACCACCTTGGTCAACGCCCAGTCAACCCTCCGGTCAACCCTTGGTCAACGCCCGGTCAACCCTTCACCTCGGCTATGGCTGCCGGCACCTTCACCTTCGTCACCCTCGCCGCTTGCTTCCCCTTCCGTCACTCTTCTTCTTCTTCACTTTCTCTGTTTTTTTTTTGTTTTTTTTTTTGTACACCCCCGGCTATGTCTGTCTTCTTCTCCAATATCCTCCTTCCACACTTCTCTTTCTCTCTCTCCTTAGCCCCTCCTTCTCTGTCCTCCCTCTCTCTCTCCTTCAGCGCCCTGTGTCGATACTCCGCGGCTATGGCCGCTCTCTTCCTTCTCCACCGGACCACACAACTCGCCTCACAGGTAAGTGACAACCAATCTTGGATCGCTCATCTCTCTCTCTCTCTCTCTCTCTCTCTCTCTCTCTCTCTCTCTCTCTCTCTCGCCGTAGCGGTATCTTCAGCGCAGCAGGTAAGAACCCAATCTTGTATCTCTCTCTCTCTCTCTCTCTCTCTCTCTCTCTCTCTCTCTC